GTGTCCTCAAAATTCGGTGGCGCCCTCTTCGCAAAAGCGCACCTTTAGCGAACAGAGTTATCCTACTTGAGTTAAAAAATCAAAGTGAAACCAAAGATTTGTGAAACTAGCAAGTTTTTGAATGAATTTCGGAAGAACGCTTTTTAAAAATGGTTACGCTGACAAAAAACCTCTCACGGAGGAAAGGGTGATTGTTTTCTTCGTTTAATTTGACTTTAGAATGAAAGGCGAGAGGTCATTAAAAAAAAACAAAAAACTAAAACTCCGTACTGAACGAACCCGAACTGCTGATGAACAGCAGTCGATCTGCGTAAGCAAGGAGGTGCTATTCCTATTCTTCTTCTGGAAAAACGAAAGAGACCTTCAAAACAGACTGCAGCGCCATCTGAAACAAAGAGCATACTTCCTGCGGACACTTTTTTTGGCTGAGTGGCCCATCTTGTTATTTACTATCTTGAGGTATCTAGGTATCGAGTATCTGGTATCTATACCTGCCCATCACTAGTCTACCTCCAGTTGATGATCGGGTTGTGCCAGTGAAGCAGGTTGCCTGGTTGATCACATGAATATTAATTTTTGAGGCTGGAATCAAAGTATTTTTTGTGTTAGATCTATCAGTTATTTTTGTTGTTATCGGTTGTTATTTGTTTTTATCTCGACAAAGATAAATACCCGGACCTCTGAACTTTTTTCACCCTTATCTGAGAAGGCGAAGTCAAGTGTTAGATCTTACCTACCCTAAGATCAGGGGTGTGCCTGAAAGACACCAATATAACGGAGCCTGGAATAAGTTTAGTAAAAGAGAGTAAGAAAGCGTCAGGAGCCCAGAGGAGGGGGCGGGGGAAATGATGGAGTGGGGAAAGGGGGGGGGGCAGAAAGTGGGGATGAAAGCAAAATACGAAGGAACATTACTAGAGACCAGGAAAGGGGGAGGAAGGAGGAAATTATATAGAAGAGCGTTCTCCATCTCTGTCTTGTTTCGAACCTGGGACCTATTGGATGAGAGGCGAACACCGTGCCCCTAGATCGCGAGAGCCCACGATTGTGCCCTTCAAAGTCAAACGCGTTTGTTTGTCACACCGCGAATCGAAAAGGGGTTGTATTGTGAAAAAAAAGAAAAAGAAAAAAGAGAGATAGCTTCTTTATTCTTTGAGAGAAAATCTGGTTGGACCCCAATCAGTTCAATTGAATGCGACTGGCACTGTACACTGCGGGTGCTCATTGGCAGGATTGGTTCGGATCGGAAAATACTCTTCTTGCCCAGAAGTTTATTTGTTGTTGTTTATGTTGTTTTTAAAACCGATTCAATCCCTTGCACTTGCTGAGTTAGTAGATGAAAAATTCCCCGAAAATGCAGCATCTCGACATGCTTTGAGAAAGAGGGTTGCGAAGTCAATTTTCACGCCACCGGTAACGGCATAAATTGATCATCACTGGAAAGAGAATGGAAATGAGAATCAAAACCAATGGGCTTATTACCAGCTCCTATTAGGTCTAGGCTAGCCTAGGTTTAAGTGTAGGTCCAGGTCTAAATCTGAAGAATCAGAGCTGGCTGGTCCTGTTTCAGTGGTGGGCCTAGGCGAGGTCAAACACAATGTGGTATGAAACGAGGGGTGGTGCATTCAAAGCACGATTATGGAATTGTTTTCTTTTTTTTTCTCCCTGCAGTCAAATATAGCAAATAACAAGATGGGCCACTCAGCCAAAAAAGTGTCCGCAGGAAGTATGCTCTTTGCTTCAGATGGCGCTGCAGTCTGTTTTGAAGCTCTCTTTCGTTTTTCCAGAAGAAGAATAGGAATAACACCTCCTTGCGTGCGCAGATCGACTGTTGTTCATCAGCAGTTCGGGTTCGTTCAGTACGGAGTTTTAGTGTGTTTTTTTAAAAATGACCTCTCGCCTTTCATTCTAAAGTCAAATTAAACGAAGAAAACAATCACCCTTTCCTCCGGAAGAGGTTTTTTGTCAGCGTAACCATTTTTTAAAAAGCGTTCTTCCGAAATTCATTCAAAAACTTCCTAGTTTCACTTTGATTTTTAAAACTCAAGTAGGATAACTCTGTTCGCTAAAGGTGCGCTTTTGCAAAGAGGGCGCCACCGAATTGTGAGGACACTTTTTTAATTGGCTCAAAGAGAGAAGTGGCCCCTCTTGTTATGTAGACTCTTTGCTGCAGTCAAAGTTAGATTACCAAAATATTAAGAAAGAACTACCCTTAGTGAGCCTTCGCAATGTACTTTTTTCAAAAACCCGATCGCAGTTTTACTGAACACGTATACGCGCATTCTGAAAGGACAGGTTCCCGACTCAAGTTGCCAATAGGTGCGGTCCGCCTGAGACCCTGGCCTAATTTAACCCTACAAGGTCTCTCTCTCTCTCTCTCTCTCTCTCTCTCTCTCTCTCTCTCTCTCTCTCTCTTTCTCTCTCTCTCGGTCTCTCTCTCTATCTATCTATCTCTGTCTGTCTGTCTGTCTGTCTGTCTGTCTGTCTGTCTGTCTGTCTGTCTGTCTGTCTGTCTCTCTCACACACACTCTCTCTCTCTCTCTCTCTCTCTCTCTCTCTCTCTCTCTCTCTCTCTCTCTCTCTCTCTCTCTCTTTTAATATATTATTTCTCTGCCCCCCCCCCCACCTCTCTGCGACTAATGTTCTGTCCTTTCTTTTCTTCTGTAATCTATCTATCTATCTATCTATCTATCTATCTATCTATCTATCTATCTATCTATCTATCTATCTATCTATCTATCTATCTATCTATCTATATATCTATCTGTCTGTCTGTCTGTCTGTATGTCTGTCTGTCTGTTTCGATAATTTCAAAATCGTAGACTATTCTGCAGTGTCTAATATTAAAGGGCATATTAGAAACCGCTCTGTCGTGATTTCTAAGCTCATCCGGGTTCAGAGGTAGCCTACAGTGTTGCTTGATTGGAAGGTCTTTCCGTGTATTTTATGATAATGTTTTATTATACTTTTCAGTTTCACATTTCTTTCGTTTAAAACGACAGAACCAACATACTAGGTCCGGACGAATAATGCATAATATCTTAGTGCTTAGCCAGGAAACTGCATCTAAAAATGATAACAAAAATAAATTACATTTATATAGCGCTCAACCCCGATTTACGTACACAGGCTCTGAGCGCGTTACAATACTGTACAACGTACAACAGTAACATAAAACGTGTTTTGGCTGAAACAAAATTACTCCAAATATTCATCTTATTAATTTAGAAACAGAAACGACTTCATCAGACATTTGAATGAATCAAAAGATTTGATCTATCTTTAAGTACTTGGTAAAGCATTCCAGATCTTGGGGCCTTGGTATTCAAATGTCCTTTCACCCATTGTTTTAAGTCTACTTCAGATGTATTCTTTCGGGTAGAAAAAAAGTGGGGAGTTCTCAGACCTTTGCCTCATATTATGTCTTAATGTAGCACAAGGCCAGAATAATAACCAGAACAACAACACAGTAGCAGCAGCAGCAGCAACAACAGCTACAAAAACAACAACAACAACTTATTTATTTATTATCATTATTATTATTATTATTGTTATCATCATCATCATCATCATCATCATCATCATCATCATCATCATCATCATCATCATCATCATCATCATCATCATCATCATCATCATCATCATCATCATCATCATCATCATCATCATCATCATCATCATCATTATAATTTTGATTATTATTATGCTTCATGTTGATGATGATGATGATGATGATGATGATGATGATGATGATGCTGATGATGATGCTGATGATGATGATGATGATGGTGATGGTGATGATGATGATGATGATGATGATGATGATGATGATGATGATGATGATGATGATGATGATGATGATGATGATGGTGATGATGATGATGATGATGATGATGATGATGATGATTTTTATTATTTTCTGTTTAAAAAATTGCGCTCTCAAAGTAAGTTAATGAGATTTGCAATTTGATTGTAAGCCCAAACGAGATTCTTTCCAGCGACTTAGCAACTGCATGCCTGGTAGCCTCACTAGCAGACTACCGTCCAGTCAAAAAAAACAAACAAACTTTTTACTTCCCCCATGGGTAGGCCTACAATAGTTCCCAGAAGTTGGCCTTTCCACCCTACTCCACCCCCCCCCCCCCCCAGTCCCCTTTTAATGCAAACATTAAAAATATGAAGGATCCTCAATCTGATGGCAGGCCTTCAGGAACACATACGCTCGTGCTTCGGATGTGGGTGGTTGGCGGGTGCTCTGTGTGGTTTGTTTCTTCTTTCTTATCAAACATATATCGTCCTTATCTCCCCTTCTTCTTTTTATGTTTGTTACTCTCTTACAACACCTCTAATCTTCGGGCGCTCATATGACCTTATGCAGTTGCGAGCGCCGTAAAAACTCTATTTTAAAAAAAAGTACGGCGGATAACGTCCCGGTGACTGTAGCACTCTCGCTCTGCATTCCTACTTCTGTCGTGTGGATCGGTACATATATTCTTTTCTGGCGAGGCTCTGTAACAGATGCTATGTGAGTGAACAACCCGAAAGAAATACTCAGACAACAGACTGCATGGAGGCAGATACAAATTAATTTGTGGGGGGTCTGTATTTAATTATTTAGTAGAGGTTTTACAGCACTCGCAACTGCATAAGGTCACTTGAGCGCCAAGGGGTGGCTGTCAACAGAGAAGTATTTACGGGGAATCAGGCTTACTCTGCTCACCTCTCAAGCTTCAACTGCACAAAGTCTGTTTCGACTTTCAAGACATCCCGGTAATAGCGGGTCACAAGAGTGTGACAAACATACAAAAGAAAAAAAAGTAGAGGAAAATGACAATAGTAAGGATTAGGAAAGAAAACGCAGCAGTTCCCTGTTGAAGATCAGGCACTGTTATGAGCGTGACTTTGATGAATCAGCCCATTTACAATTCTACTGTGCATGAACGAGAAAAGTCTCCCCTTCGGGAATGGCCTGAAGACACTTCAGTTGGGAGGGGGGGGGGGGGGTGGTGTCTGTGCTAATTTTGGCAGCCCCTCATCAAATCAGTTTAAAAAATGAAAAATGAAAACTAAGCAATTCAGTTTAAAAATAGAAAAATTTAAAAACACAAACGATTCATTTAGACAGTAAAAATATTTAAAACCACAAACGATTCAGTTAAGAAATAGAAACATTTAAAACCACAAACGACTTTGCAACCCGCCCTTAAATCAACGAGAATCACAAAGTCTCTAATGCGCCGAACTCACACTCTGAACCGTAGCACGTAATTTAAAAAAAATGCTAAACAAACAACAATAGGTATAATATCGCAGTCACAACAAGCGGTCCACAAGGTAAGGATATTAACTCTTTAGGGACGTAGAAGAAACATTCATAATTTATAATTATGTCCTATCAGCAGCAGGCAAAAGGAAATGTGCGGCTCACTTTGAAACAATTTTGCACAAATCAAACAGACGAGTTTGTTGACTGTATAGTATGCCTTTTGTTGTTTGCCTTTTAAAGTTTTAGATGAAGAAAAACGAATTAACAATTCTGTACGAATAACGTAGTTCATGTTTCTTTTATTTTTTTAAGTGCCCCAAAGCAGGGCGTCTTCAAGCCTGGTGGAACCCGTATCCCCAGTGAGTTACAACCGTCGAATGTAAATAAAGTAAGTAAAGAGTCTACTGGGAAACATGTGAGCAAGCGTCACTTAAATCACACGTGAATTAGGCCTTGCCAACAATGCGTGAGTGTGTACTGTGCTCACCAAGCACTCAATCTGACACAAGCAAGAGAGTCGCTCCACAGTCCAGACAACACTGTCACAGAACCAACGTCGACGGATTCCTCACGGCTTGGAGAAGCGTGGTCAGTTAAATTTTCCATTTGTTCTTACGAGGTTACATTTCTAACGTTTAATCGCCGATCGCCTGTAAGGGTTGTTCTTGAATGCTTATTTTTGGCGTGTCGTTGTAATTGTGCAGTACCAAATAACCATTACTGTATCCTAGCCCCATATGCAAATTCTTTTTCAGTTGGTTAAATTCGAAGGTATAGAGTCTAGTTCTAAAGACTAGATCTAGATCTAGATAGTTAACGTTGAGAAAATGTGCTTGTCTCAACATTTTAAGATAAGTGAACATAAATCTAGATCTAGATCTAGAGCAACTGCCCATTTTGCTTATCCTAAATTTTTAATCTGAAATAAGAGGAAATGCAAGAAAATCTAGATTTAGATCTAGATTTAGATCTAATCTAGATCTAATTAATTTAGGGAATGTTGCTATTAAAACTGAAATACTGCGTAGATTATACAATTAATATATATATCTATATGGGCATTCTTATTTACTTACTTACTTTACTTTTTCATTCTCTGTTGCCGTTAAGCGTCGAGGGGAGATGCAGTTTTCTATGGTAGGCCAGTTCCGCAGCTCTTTCACTACTTTCAGTTGTGATGTTATGTTTTCTTAGGGTTTCCTTGACACCCTCGATCCACCTTTTGCGTGGCCTTCCTCTTCCTTTATAGCCTGAGTGCTTGATGTTGTAGGCTCTCAAGGCTGGCTGGTCAGGTGACATGCATAACAGGTGGCCAAACCATTTTATCCTCTGTCTTTCTATGTAACGCAGGCAGGACTGTTTCAGTTGTTTACTATTGGCTGTTCTTATTTATAGCAATAAAAAAGGCCTCATCTAGATTCTAGAAGGGAGAAGAGGTTCCGAATAGAGCCTAGTACCAATTTTTCCACTCTCATTGTGAGCTTGCTGACATGGCACTTTCCCGTTATCAATTGTAACCCTTGGCAGTACGGAATGCCTGCGTTATGAAACATATACTAGATCTAGATTTGGATTTTTAGGACAAATGGTAAGACCCAGAAGCACAGAATTGATTCCCTTTAGACGATTTTCAGAAAAAGTCAACAGTTCAGAACGGATTTGTAATTTAGGGAATGAAATGTTCTTTTTGACCCTAGCGCTGTGTTCTATAATAGGTCTATCAACCCATGCCTTCGTACCAATGGATTTTTTAGACCCGTTCGCCACCACTCAAGAAACAAATTTCACGTGTTCTTTCTGAACTCATTTACTTCGTCAGAGATCAGCACAAATTCTCGTTAATTTATTGTTTTTGCGCTGAATCCCAATGCGGGTGGTTCGATGGTGCCATGTATAGCTATTCATCTTTGTCCCGTTTTTTTTTGACAACACTGACTTATTGAGTCTTTAGGCCTACTTCTTTACGTCTTATACATACTTTAAAATGTCAGTGTTTTATGTACCCACCACAATTTTGATCATTTATGAGGCGGCCCCGAGCTACGCCCCTGTCAAGGACAATCCGAGCTTTGAGAGAAACCAGAAAGATCGAGATACTCGATAAGATTCTCTCCCTACTAACTCTCTCCCCCCCCTCCCCCAACGGGAATGCGAACTCAGGTCTTTCATACTACGGAGGTTAAGCGCTGAACAGTTACACCAGAGATGACCACAATCATTCCAACTAGCCCTGCTGTCCATTACGTTCCTAGTGTTTTAAACAACCTCAAAGGCATGAGGATGTCATTTCTGAATGTGGGTGGTTGGCGGGCGCCATTGTTAGGTCCTTCTTTACCCCCCCCCCCTCCACAATTGCCCCCGCTCTAAATTACCGCTTTTTATGTCAGATTGTTAAAATGTACTAACACTTAAACCTTCATGGGTTATTTTACTTCCTACTCTGATGAAAAGCACCAGCAGCTTTGCTTCAATCGTCAAAATGGCAGACAGCAACCCAAGCCACAATGACCCGGGAAACAAAGAGGACAGTCCTCAAGGTTCTGGCTCTCCCGATAAGCTGCCAGATCCATCAAGTGCTTCCCAAGGATCCCCAACAAACCCTCAGAACGCACCAAACAGTGAAAACGCCTCTCCTAATAGTCAGGCCGCAGCAAATAGTCAACGAGCTCCAGTAAAAGAAAAACAAAGCTCTCCAAAAGGTCAAGGATCCCCTAAAGACGAAGTCAAAACGAAAGGCGACGGAGGTTCCCCGGAGGATGGAAACGAGGCTAAAAGATCCCAAGGATCGTCTAAAGGAAGCTCCCCAGAGAGTCGAAACGAGGCTTCAAAAACTCATAAATCTTCAAAAGGAAATTCCCCTGAAAGTCAAAACGAGACAAAAAAATCTCCGGGGTCTACGAAAGGAAGTTCCCCGCAAAGTCAAAACGAAGCAAAAAAATCTCCGGGCTCTTCAAAAGGAAGTTCCCCACAAAGTCAAAACGAAGCTAAAAAATCTTCGGGCTCTTCGAAAGGAAGTTCTCCTGAAAGGCGACAAGGATCTCCACGGAACCAAAGCGTCTCGACAACTGGAGGTCAACGGAGCTCTGCAAGAGATAACAAAGGAACTGTTGGCGGAGAGAAGGCCTCCCCCAGCAGTGAGAATGGTTCTGGCAACGGTAGTCGTGGTGAGTCCCGGACCTCGCATCGAAGTGCCGCCCAGCAGCTCCGAAGGAAGTCCCCTGACTATGGCGCCACCGCTGACAGATCGGACTACGTGGCACATCCTCCAAGCGATGACATAGAACCGCTGTTACAGGCAGGTAAGAAGGTATCTAGTTAGCTAAGGTGAGGTCCACTCCTCCCTTTTCCGTGTTACTTATCTCATAAACAGAAGCACTCAACGTGCATACGCCCACTGGTGGAAATGATTTTAAATGCTCAAAATGAAGCATGCTCTTCTCTTCCAGAATTGATCTGACCACAACAGAAGCCACGAGTCATCTTAACCCTTTTTTCCGTTTTGCATAATTCTCCTCTACAGATACTGGTCATCGTCAGACATTGACTGACGGGCGAGCTGTTCATTTTGATACGACAGTTAACTCTTAATAGGCCACTCTACACAAAACTGTTGCCACCAGCATTACCCTACTCTCAGGTTTTCAAGCCCCCCCCCCCCTCTACACACACAATTACTTTATTGGCAATATTTTCAGAAGCGGTTTACTGCTTTCTCTTCCGATGATCTAAATCAGTGCTTGCCATCCTGGGAGACATCGCCCACAATTTGGTAATTTCGTTGGCAGGCAGTGGGGATCATCTGACCAGTGATAGTCATTATTTAATTTGAAAACACGTGTAGGTGGGCTGTACAAAACTTGACATTTCAAAAAGGGGGCAAAATTGAACGCTGGCTACAAACAAATTGACAACCACCGAAATAGATTGTCTAGTTTGGGGCTCAATGCACTTTAGATTACAATTCCAGTCTAGCACGCACATTTCCAACATGCACATATCCAACATGCACATATCCAACATGCACATATCCTACATGCACATATCCTACATACATATATCCAACATGTACATATCGAACATGCGCATATCGAACATGCACGCAGCGAGACACGCACAGCGAATACGCACATAGCGAACAGATTTTCAGGTCCTGAATAATTTATACACACAGTCCTCTTATAAACGTTGTATTTAAAATACGTAAAGAACGAAATTCGTAAAAAAGGAAAAGATTCTGCGCCCCTCCAATTTCACATATATCTCCAGAAGTGGTACGTGTTGATTCGCCTCGTGACTCCCCTCCCTACCAGGCGTGGGGCATGCGCTCGTCCTCCGCTCCTCTTGACAAAGCATCGTCGTCGAAGGGCTCCCTCGATACCATAGAGGCGGGGAGCCGCAGACATAGGAAGAAAGAATGTCGATATGCGGTAAGACGGTTTTTTTTGTTGTTGTTGATTTTTCGTACGGAAGTGGAACATCGGCAGGGATTTCCTTTTCAAAAATGTATTTTTATTCTCCAAGTCGTGTTTCCAGAAAGTTGAGTCAGGAGGAAACCACGGTTCTTCTTTACCATCCACATGCTACTTTGTTGTCTACTTTGCATTTTGTGATCACTGACAAGATCGTTGTTGAGTTGATAAAAAAGAATCTTCCTTCGAAATTGTCGTGCTTTCTTGCTTCTGACTTTTCAGAAAAGTTATTTAACACCGTTCTTTACTTTCATCTTTTGGACAAGAAGCCAAAGCTTATAAAGTCGAGAAAACACTGAAAACCACCCCTCATCTGCCGAAAGTGATCAAACCTAAGCGATTCTTTTACATATCCAAATAATTTTTTTTGCTAATGCCTCGATCAAATTATTGATTGCGCCACTATTTTTTAACGTTCAATTTTATCCTTGTTAAGCAGGGATTTAGCCAAGACTGCATAAACCAGAAATATTCCAAACTTAAATCGTGGGTGGTTGATAGGTGCTCTGGCACGGTTTTCTTCTTTCCTATTCAAATATCTAAATCCTTACCTCCTCCGTCTTTTCTTTGTAACTCTCCAGCAAGACCTGGTCTGCGTCACTAATATAGCCTATTTGTGTTGCGAGCGCTGTAAAACTATGAAATAAAAAAACAACAAAAACAACCCAATATCAATGTCAAACAGAAGTATTAACATTGCAAACTTTTCTCCCCCAGAACCTGCCCTGCATGTGTGTGAAGTCCACCTTTTGCTCTGTTGGGGTGACCATCATCATGGTCCTCTCAGTGGCCTTGCTTCTGTGCATACAATTCCTGATCTTGCCGACGCTGAAGAGTCGGATTATACAAGTACGAGCCATTCTCTTTTCGATATTCTAAATCTGTAATAGATCACTTGCAGGTTGTTGCGGGTGCTCTGGTGTGGTTTACTCCTTCTCTGTCAACATAAGTCGTCCTCATTTCTCCCTTTCTTTGTGTGCTACTCTCTAGTAACACTCCTAATGTTCTGCGGGCTCTTATGTAAAGGAAGAGACAGTCATGGTTGAGCAAATGTGCCACCCAGCTGCATGACAACACCACCTTGCATACTGCAAAACGACAAAAGTGTGGATTCAGAAGAATGGTTGGGAAGTTTTGTCATATCCTCCCTATAAATGTGGATCTGGCCCTTTCTGACTTCCATCTAATTGGACTTCTCAAAACACTTAGCTGGAAAAAAAATTGACGAAGACCATCACGAAGTGCAAATTTTTTTGCAATCTTCTCGGGGATTTCTTCAAGCGGAGCATTTCTCATACAATGTTGGAAAAAAAAGAATCGATTTCGAAAGTGAAAACTACAGACGAGTAGCACTATAATGTAAGCATCTCGTGTAAAAAATTTAGATCACAATTCCCACCACATGGGCAGTGCTACTGACTGAAGTGTCTTTAGGCCATTACCAAAGGAGAGGGGGGGGGGGGGGGGGTTGATATTAACATGTTCTTATGAACAGTACAATTGTAAATGGGCTGATTTATCAAAATGCCATGCTCATACTGTGCCGGAACAACAGAGGGGGAACGGTTGCTTTTTCTTTTTCATCCTTACTATCGTCATTTTTCCTCTACTTTTTAAATTTTGTCACTCCGGGGTGCCTTGGTAGTCGAAGCCGACTTTGTGCTGTTGAGGCTAGAGAGGTGAGCAGAGTAAGCTTGATTCCCTGTTTGGACATCTCCATTGACATCCACCCCTTGGCGCTCATATGAGTTTACAAAAACACAAAAAGACCTCAATTGTTGATTCTGTGGCTGTTTTCACCTTACTTTTTAAAAATCCTTCATATGAATTATTTGTTGCTAGTGCTGTTAAACTCACTAATACTATAATTTATTTTTGTTTATAACATAAATTACTTAAAAAGATGAACCGTGCTGGTTGGGGAGTGATATTTCACATCTCTTCTGAAATGTGTGCGGTATTGAGTGGCTATCCCAGCCTTGCTCCCTTCCTTCCTCTGCATGCTTATCACGTACATAAACCTGTATATGACCTAGTGACCTTTGTGTTGTTTTTAACATCACCATCGACACAATTTAAATCATTTAGGAGGCAGGCTTCGACCCTGCCTGTCAGGGAAAACACAGGCTAAGAAAAATACAAAGTCCTACCAGAAAGACCAAAACACTCGATAAAATTTATCCCCACACGGGAATCGAACTTTGATCTTCTGCGCGCGACGGCGCAGTGCTTAACCGTTACACCACGAACGCCGGTGGTAGGACTTTATAGGCGTCGGCAAATCGAATAAGAGCGCTCAGGATCCGCATTCAATGGCACGACGACAGTACGACGACGCTAACGTTTTTGTCCAAATATAACGTTCCCCTGCACAGGTCACGACCATGTGGCGTCAACCTGTACTGTTGCGAGAATAAGGTAGAGAAGAAAAGAAAACTAACAGACAACTGAGCATTGACATGTGTAATGTAATATTGTCACAGGTAAACTCCCGAGCCACAAAATCCCTGATATGCACCAGTGAGCTCCCACCCCACAGGTTAGGGATATGCGCCGGGGTCTAGACGGTCATATGATTTATGATCGCCTAGGCCGGGGTGCTTCTGGTTGCTTTACTTAAAATTTGTTTTAGATCACAAATGTATTTACACCGAATTTGAATATTTTTAACTTTTTAGCATTTTAAAGTAAATTAGTTACCAGTCGTGAAGTGAACTTTCGCAGAGGTGAACAACTTGTGTTTCGCGCGCTCATATGACCTTAGCAGTTGCGAGCGCCGTAAAACCTTATACTACTACTAAAATAAAGATGTACATACTAGGCCCACTTAAATAACTCGATAATAGACTGACAATGACCAGAGTGGCGTACACCCTAAGAACCACAACAAAGAGCTCTGCTATATTCGACCGTTTTTATCAGATTCTTTTGGCATTTCTGTTCAGGAGGGTATGACGTTAAGTCAGTTGATATCATCGTGGTGCCGGTGGCCCCAGTTCAAATCCCTCGAAGAACTGAACTTTGTCGATTTGGGATTTGAGATTTTGAGGCTCTACCTTCCCCCTTCCCGGGGTGGGTCTTATCGTGGATAGAAATTAAATTCGGCGGTATTGCCAATTAACTTTATGAGAGCTTACATGGTTGGACGAGCTTAGCTAGCACTGTAACAAAATAAAAAATCCCCCCCCCCCGGCCCCAACTCCTCCACCCCCCCCCCCCAACATTGCAAACATTTCTTCCTCAGAATCGGTTCTGCATGCGTGTGACATCCGCCTTTTGCTCTGTTGGGTTGACCATCACCATTGTCCTGTGTTCCATACACCTGTCGCTTATTTTGTTCTAATCTCAGTAGGTGGTTAGCGGGTGCTCTGGTGTGGTTTTGTTCTCTCCTTTCAAACATCTATCGCCATTTTCTCTCCTTTTCTTTCTTTGTATGTTACAAACTCTCAAGTAAGACAATTACTCTTCGGCACTTACATTATTACTTAATCGTGCTGCGAATGCCGTAATTCTTTTTACTAAAACTAAAGTTCTCGTCTCAGTCCTTGACCCTCCGAAACACAACATCTGAAGCCTGGGCTAACCCCAAAGCGGAGACGTGGGTCAGCTGTTACTTCTTCAACGTCACGAACGCTGCACACATCTCTGGCCGAGATAGGTCCGTCAGGCTCAACGAGATGGGACCTTACGTGTACAGGTGATGAACTATTTTTTTCCTCTTAAGGGTGGTAATAAGGGGGGGGGGGGGGGGGGGGGGGGGCTACACCTGGAGGCTATTTCGCTTAGTACTGGACTGAATTTTACCAAATTTCACACATATAACAAGCATAGTAAGGAGTCTTAAAATCAGCAATCCAATTTGAGAAAAAAGTTTCGTTTCCATGGATACGTCGCCATATTGGATTTTATTGACATGTCTTACGTAATGAATACCGCACTTATCGCGAATGGAAATTGATTGTTTTTCTGCATGCGTGTTCACAAACATTAGTTCTAAAATTTGTCTGTTGTTTTTTTCCTAATGGAATTAGAAAATTTTTAATGAATTTTTTCCTGAGGTAGCATTCAAGTTTGCGAAAAATCCGTGAAAATCCACACACCAGACACCAGACACCGGCAACAAAAATCTATTCTATATATCCAAAATTCAACCGACAAATTTTTAGTATTACCTCTTTTCTTCATTCTGTGAAAATTTAATGAAGATTGGATGAAAAATGGTGGAGTTATTCAAAAATTTATAGAGAAAAGTCGCATTTTGAGAAAACGGCCGATAAAGAAAAATAAAATACTGACTTTATGAGGAAATGGCGGTAACAAACATGCCCGGTATTGGAAAAAATACGGCTTTTGGGGGTTCTTATGCCATGAAATAGTTGTAGGAAGCTAAAAATGCCTACAACTCAAATTCCATTATTTTGAGCCGAATTTTGAATTTGGGGGTGTAGCCCCCCCTCCCCTTAAATATAACATATATACCCCCCCCCCTCAATCAAAGCAATGCAGATCATTTAGGAAGCAGGCTTTGACCCTGCCTTTCAGGGCCAACCCTCGCTGAGAGAAATATATGTGTCACGGCATGGTGGAGTCAGGCGCTCGTCAAATTAATGAAAACAAAGAAATAGACATTTTAATTGCCGATGGGTAATTTTTTTCTCTTTTTTAGCTTAACATCTTTTATGTCTATTTGAAAACACATTTCTGATTGGATTTACTGAAAAACATTTATAAAAGACACAGATGTAAATATTTAGTTTCAAAGGACTCTCAGGCTATGGGAATTACCAAATTTTGTCGGCCATTTTCTCACTAATTTTACCTGTGAAACCAGGCAACCCTGACCTTCTATCGCAAATATTTCGACTTCTATTCAACATAGATACATACTTTTTTCACCAAAAGAAAGGCAAATGAAAGGCTTTAAGATTAAACCAATAACCCACTATACAAAAAAATAATAATAAAAAAATGACTGAGAGCCTGATTCCACGACGTCGTGACGTCCTAGCAGAAACGGAAACACTCGATAGATTTTCTCCCCGCTCAAGAACCCTGTAGATTTTAAAATATATAAGTAATTCTCCCGTAGTTTATTAGAGGACAGCTTTTTAATAGGTAGGATTTTTAAAATGTGGCTTTGTCTTGTCACATCAAATGTGCTGCGTTTTAAAATTGTATCGGAACAACCTATACTATAAGAGAGAACCCACGCACACACCTTTCTAATACACCACTTTAATATGCCACTCTTAACACACTACGCTCTACCCAAACTCACAAACACGGGCACACGCACACGAACACGAGCACACGCACACACATACACACATTCACACACACACGCAAACACACACACACACACAAACGTAAACACACACACAAACGTAAACACACACACAAACGTAAACACACACACACACACACGCAAACACACACACACACACACGCAAACACAC